ACCCTCTACAGCTAAGATGGTGAACAACAGCTTGACCTGGAGCTGGGCTGCCATGAGTCGCCGGCGACGGTGTAGGCTGCAGTGGGGCTGGCCAGTAGCGGGTGTGAGCTTTCATGAGCTGCCATTAGCCGCCGTTAGCGGCCGTCCAATGGCGGGTGAGAGACTGCCTCACCCAGGAAGAGCACAATGATAATACCAACATGGGCCAATGAAGCAACATCCTCTACAACTAGACTGAAAAACAAAAGGGCAGCAACTTGTATGTTCCCTTTCCCTGACTCCCCAACACTGTTCCCCTCTCCCAATTCCCCAATAAAAAAATCTAAAAAAAAAAAAATTTAAAAATTATAGAAAAAAATCTCAATGGATGAGCCCCTATCCTATGCTAGGCACAGTGATAGACACCTAAGTTACAAAGACAAATCACCCATCATCCATGTCCCAAAGAGCTTACAGTCGAATAGAAAGAGAAAGACTTGGTGCTTATAAGGCAGGGTTTGTTAACTTGAATTTGATTCAGGGAGCCCGTGAACTTAGATGAGAAAAAAATTAAATATTTACATTAACCTCTAACTGAAATTTAGCATTTCCTTCAACTATTAATATAGGTGACAAATCACAGTAGTGTTAGCAGGGTCTGAGGCTTTGTTTCCAAGATAAACTACAGATATTTCCATATCACATTATAGTTCTTGCAGGTATCTCAAAATATTATTGGCCCTCATCGCTACTTTGAAATTATGTCATCAGACCAACCTGTTGCTAGATCTTATTTTGTACGTTCAAAAAGAAGCACCTATATTACTACATCACAACTTTATTTTTTATTATTTTGGTATTGATACTTTATTATAATTGGTTTCCTTTATAATCTGATAAATTTGACATTTGTGCATTTTTAAAAGAAGGGGCCCATAGTCTTCATCAGACTGCCAAAGTGGTCCATAGCACAAGTAAGGTAAAAAATCCCACCACAGAAGCCTGCGGAAGACAAAGTGGGGGCACCAACGAAAGAGTGCACGAAGGGAGAAGTACATGATTTAAAAAAATTTTTTGTAAGAGAAGCTAGGTGGTCTTTAATTTTTAATACAAACTTAAAAACAGTCACCTTGAGGTATTAAGAATAATTTTATTCTGACTGCAAAAGTGCATAGAAATTGGAGTTAAAAATCTGGTTCTAACTCACAGCTCTGCCACTAAGTGAGCAAGTCACTTAGGCTAGTTTCTTATCTGTAAAATGAAAACAATGCCAGTCTCATAGGATCATTATGACAAAGTGAGATAATAAACATAAAAACATATCCATAACTATCAAGGTTAAAACGATTGTTATTCTTCTTTCCTTGAACACATATCTAGTCCTGTGCTAGGAAATACAAAAGAAATGGACAATGGCCTTTGCTTTTTAGGAGTTTAGCAATTCCAGATATGGTATGAAGGCAAAAACAAACAAAACCCTAGAAAGCAATTCAAATTCAGTGTGAGGTAGGGGACTTGTGAATTGGCGCCACAAGTCTCAAAAAACAGTTGCCATGCAAAACTTAGAAATAACAGCACAAAATAAATGATCTGGCCTCAGAAGCGACAACCCTGAGGTGATCTGTAAACATTCTACCTATAGAACAAATCTGATTAAGACTTGTCTAAGGTAAGGTTTTTTAGTGTTCTACATACATTCTAGACAAAAGAGCATACAAAAAGTTATTTGTGTCTATGCTTTTCCCATAGCTCGGTTGGCAGGTACTGGTTAGCGACTATGCATTAAAATCATGTCCATGCTGAAGCCTAGCGATGGCATTCTTTAAGATCCACTTTAAGAACATCCCAACTCGCTTCACTGTTCATCAAAGATTTATCATAGCCTGTAACTTGGTCTTTTTTCTTTGACTAGACCTGTCCCGACACTCTCTCCAAAAGGGAGGGCCCTGTATAAATGATGAAGACTCATAATTTTGCCAGTTACGTTTACTGTCAATTAGCATTCTGGTTTATAACTAGATATTTTGTAATCTGCTTAGTGTGATTTAATTCTCCAGACCTGACTGAATTGATGCAACTTCATTTTCTAACCCAGTAAAGCTAAAGGTGAGTTTACCAAGGACTAAAACCCACCACAAGCCTCTGTGGGGTGGCATTACATTAGAAAAGGCTTTTTTTCAGAAATCTTAAAAAAAAACAAAAACAAAACCTTCCTTTTGTGGAAGAAAATTTTTTAAAAAGTACAGAATAGCATAACAAAAGAGCACTCTGAACTTTGACTAAAAATATGTGCTGTACTTAAAAATCGGCAACAGGTTTACCTAATTTCAGATGTGCTTCTGAAATAGTACTAAATTGTATATTAAAGGCATCATTTGTACAGCTCGTTTTCTTAAGTAGCAAGGGCTTTGATAAAATCAGTATTTTAGATAGTTAAATAACCATTCCAAAGATACTAGTTTTGTAAACAACTTGCATAAGCATTCCAAAGATGCTTGTTTTAGAAAGTATTTCGAAGCTAACTATAAAGACCAAAGCAGACATTTGAAACATGTTATTGAAATTATGAAATGGTTCTGTTTATAGATTGGGATTTTTGAAGATAAAGTTTTATTTTAATGTAATATTAGATCACAGGATTTGAAATGGGAAGAACATCCTTAGAGATCATCTTGCCCAACCTGATATTCAATTCTTTGAGTATTATTAGCTCAACTCCAAACCTGTCTGTATCAGAAGACTGAATTGGGCCGATGTAGCTATCTTTTAAAGCAATACCCGCAAAACACAGGATTCCCTCGCAAGTTTTTGAGCCTCAAATTAGTAGGTTCTCAAGAAGGGTTCACATACTTCTAAGAAATCATCCAGTTGATCCCTCTGATCACTCCTATGGTGTCTGGGGGTGGGGGTGTTAATTAAACATCTAGGTTTTGCTCCTAACATGTGGAGAAGCCACAGCCTCTCTCAGTGACGACCCTGAAGTCTCACAGCACCTACAGAAAATAGTTTTCCTCATTTTATAGGACATTCCTGTTACTTAGAAATCGCTCACTTTGGTGGAGCCCAGTCGCGTCCAAGAGCAGTAGCTGCAACCCCTTGGCTGCCACCAGTCTTTTCAAGGACTTTGCTGGGTGGGGTTCAGCCAAGAGTGGCTAGAGGCACGTGGCGACAAGAGGACAGGGGACTCGATCTCCGCCTCAGGAGCCCCTCCTAGGAGAAGCGACCCGACGAACCCCCAGGCAGGCCCCCTTCCTGTGAAGTTAGAGACTCGAGGATGAGTAATGGATCTCAGTTCATTTAGCAGGTCCCTCGCCCCTAGTTCCTCAGAGGCCCGTCTCTCTTCAGGGGTCTTGTACCCCCTGGGGGCGGTGACTGACGACGCTTAGAAGGCGAGAAACGGCTCCCTACGCCGCTTGCTGGGTCCCTCTCTCCCCACAATGCACCGGGGCCAGCAGGAAGGCCGCTCCGACCCCTAATTTTCCCGCGAATTCAGTTCAAAGAGGCGGCCGGGCCCGCGATCGGCAGCGCGCACGGGCCAACCAAGCCGCGCCTCCGCGAGAAGCGCCTCCGCGTGACTGACGGGGGAATCCGCGGGCCAACGGGCTGGGCGGCCCGGCGGCGCGCGCTCCCGCCGGCCAATCAGAGCGCCGGGCGGGGGAAGTGGGCGGGGCCAGGCCAGGCTAGGGTGAGCGGCCTCCGGAGCAGAGCGGGGCTCTCAGGAGGAGACACTTTTTTTTTTTTCCTCCCTCCTTCCCTCCTCTCCTCCTCCCTTCCCTTCCCCTCTCCTCCCCTCTCTCCTCCTTCCCCCCTCGGTCCGCCGGAGCCTGCTGGGGCGAGCGGTTGGTGTTGCAGGCTCTTACTCTCCGGGGCCGCCCGGCGGGTAGCTGGCGGGGGGAGGAGGCAGGAACCGCGATGGCGCCTCAGAAGCACGGCGGTGGGGGAGGGGGCGGCTCGGGGCCCAGCGCAGGGTCCGGGGGAGGCAGCTTTGGGGGTTCGGCGGCGGTGGCGGCGGCGACGGCGTCGGGCGGCAAATCCGGTGGCGGGGGCTGTGGAGGCGGCGGCAGTTACTCGGCCTCCTCCTCCTCCTCCGCGGCGGCGGCGGCGGCAGCGGCGGGGGCTGCGGTGTTACCCGTGAAGAAGCCGAAAATGGAGCACGTCCAGGCTGACCACGAGCTTTTCCTCCAGGCCTTTGAGAGTGAGTGTGTTTGAGGCTTTGGAGGGCAGGAATACCCACTCTTCCAGGATTCGGGGATCGAGACACTTGTGCTGGGCCCCCTTCCTCGCCGGTAGTCGACTTAATTTGGGAGTGGAGGGAGAAATTGAGGGGGCTGTTACCCCATCTGGGATTACCGCTCAAGGGGACCCGAAGTCAAGGGCCTTTGCGGGAAGTGGATTAGGGGGTTCAGGTGAGGCTCTTGACTCCCCGAAGATTTACGCAAGAGGTTAGGCAGTGGGGCCCCATGTTAAGAGCAGGCGGTCTCAGAGCTGCAGTCAGATCCCGAGACTAGTTCTTGCTTTCTTTCATGCCTTTCGTACTCTAGAAGTACAAGGGTTTCGGTTGGAGGTTTTGAGCAAAATCAAGCCTGTGAAGAGGTGAATGCGGTAAAATCGACAAAATTGTCATTAGTCTGAAATGCCTTCGCACTAACTTGGTGCTGCATCTTAACATGGCACCTTTCGATGCTTTAAACCTTTCAGGTCTATCCACCCATTTCATGGACACATAAACTGAGACAGGTAGTGTTTTAAGTATTTTACTGGAGACGATCTTGGAAATCTGCCCGTTGTACTTGTCTTAATTCCGAAATATTTTCTTATATCAATGTCTGTTTTGAAGGCAAAACTACCAGTTAATTTGGAAAGAAGGGCAAGGTATCTGGAAACAATAGAATTTATAAAAAAAATCATGACTGTAAATAATTTCAGTTGTTCTTTAGTGAATATTATATCCTGATTGGTTTCCTCTTTGCTTTTGTGTGGATGTTATAATTTGATGATCATTAATACTAAATATCTTACAGGAACTTGAATAAACTCAGTTCTACCGCTGAATGTCTTTATTTACCATTTTTCCGAGGCGTGTGTTAAAGGCATGGTATCAGCTGGGCTTGGAAACACGTATTACATTGTTTAATACCCTTCTTTCGTTCTCTCAGTGCTTCATGAAATTCTAATTGGAATTTAATACAAGGAATTTCAGTTTTTATTGAAACAGATATTGAACCTGCTTGAGATTCACGTTCTTGTTACTTTTGCTTAATATATTTTCATAAATCTGGAGAGGATTTAAATTGGAAATATAGTGGAGAACTGAAGCATAGTTGACCAACATACATGTTTGCACCCCTTCTAAAATCCCTCATCTCCTTTTAGTTTATTTGGAACAAAATTAAACTAAGATTAAGTGGATATTTTAAAAATTCTTTCTAAGTATTATGAGAAGACGAGTCCTCCAAGAAAGTTTTAGCTATTTTGCTTTCTGTTGAGTCTGCCTTGGAGAAGTGAACTGTCATTAAGAACTAGATTTGATCACAAAACAACTTGATTCTTCTCTATTATTGACCTTAGCTTCTGATTTAAATGGTTTGATGTATTTATTAATAAAGTCATTTAGTTCATTTTGATACTGCTTTAAAGAAACAATAGATCATTAATGTAACTGATACGCTGGTATTGTATATAAAATATTTTCTATGTATAACCTAAGTCCTTTATAACAAATTTTAACTAAACTCAGCGTTAAAAAGACTGGGAATCAGCCTATTTAAAAATGTGTTGAGATAATATTTACATGTTGAGAATATTTACATTGAACAAACTAGATTAAAAACGAGCTATGGAAATGTTTATTGAAAAATGTAACTATAATTTGTGTCTCAGATTTTTTTCAGTATTACTACTTTCATCTTATCTGCATTAGGATACATAGGAAACAGTTTTATTCATTTTGGTTGACTCCAAATTTTTAAAAAGACCGATTGAAAACTGGAAAGTTCATTTTGTTATTTGGCATCAATAAGTAGTTCTTTTGCTGCATGCAGCTAGCTACCTCATTCCAGCTACTTTTTGGAAGGAGATGGGTTATAAATAGTGTAAATAAGCTAAATTAAATGAACGTAACTACTTCAGTTTTTCATACAGACTAATTTAAAAAGTAGCAACCTTAGAAATAATAAGGTTTAAGAACAAGATTGTAGAGCATCATAAATCTAAAATGAATGTAGATGAATTTTGTGAATGTATACCATAGATCCAGTGTCTTTTGATCTTATTGTGCATACTAATTTTCTTGATATAAATATTTAGTACATGATTTCCATACAGGTGATTGGTTTATATTGGTTATAAAATGAGCTGGGTTGGTATTTTCTTGATATCTTGAATAATAAGTAAATTTAGATAATGTTTGAATTTTGTTTTCTGTTACCTAGAACCAACGCAGATCTATAGATTTCTTCGAACTCGAAATCTTATAGCGGTAAGTCATTAACAAAATTCATCAATATTATGTTTGTCTTAGAATTGCACTTATTTGATTTTAATATTTTAAAACTTTTTTTATAGCCAATATTTTTGCACAGAACTCTTACTTACATGTCACATCGAAACTCCAGAACAAACATCAAAAGGTACATTTTATGTGTCTTATTTCAAATTAAACCGTGTTAAAGTTCTGTTTTAAAGTACTATTTCTAATTAAAGGTTAAATATGAAAACTGAGGTTAGAAATAGGACAGGTTGAATTAGTTGCAAAGTGATAATTTTAATAGTGTCATTTTTGTAAATCCTAGTTTATTACTAGTTTTTTCCTGATAGAAATGATTTAGTAGTGAAGTGAATGAAGTGATTTTACTGACATAGTTTTTACTCTGTGCTACTAGTTATTTTCAAGTTTGGTAGAAGTTGAAGATTTAAATATTTACCTGAGGGTTCAGAGGAACTATCTTTGATATATAAATGTAACAGTTAATTTTTGAATATTTCTTATCTGTTCTAACAATAAAGAATTCGCTTCTACAATGATAGGTTCAGAAAGTCTCATTTTATGTCTTTGGCGGTGACTTAACTAAAGGGGAAATACTTTTGAAGTCAGTGGGATGAATAGCCTTAAAAAAACAAGAATTCATAATCATCTATTCTTAAAGTGAAGTCTGGAAGTGTTGGACAGAGCTTATTTTTACTTTGTAATATTTAAAATTTAACCATATGTAATTAAGGAATGCTAGTTCCTTGTCCTACATGCAAAATTATTGAGCATATCACGTGAACAACTTTAACTTTAAAGGCGAGAACTTTTACTAAGCATTGGATATTGTCTTTACTTGGTAAAACCATTAAGCTATCTCAATAGATTTTGAAACTAAACTCCTTTGGAGACTCCTGCGGTTACTAAATAAGCATTATACTTTTCTATAGCAAGATGTACTTTAGCTTTTTAGATATGTCTAGGTGGATTTTGAAGGATTGAAATGTTAAAAAACTATTTGTCTTCTGGTAATCTTTCTGAATCTGGAGAGAGCATTGCATTTACTAGGTGAAACTTGCTAAGCAGCTAAATAACTAGGAAGAAGAGGGTGATGAATTAGGCAACAGAATTAAATTTGTCAGCTCTTTACCTTTTTACTCCATTAGTTATGCCAGGGTTCAGCAAACTTTTCCTGTAATAGACTAGATAGTAAATTTTTAGGCTTTGTGGTCTAGGAGGCAGAATTGAGGATGTTAGGTAGGCTGTAGGTACTTCACAAAAAGAGAGACGGTCGACAAAGTTTTTATTTGAAATTCAAAATAGAATAATTGAATACAATGTTTTGTAATACAGGCCTACTAGTGAGAGGTGGGGGATTCTTTTGTTTTTGCAGGGTTGAGGAGATAACATTTAGCTTAATTGGGGTTTAGAGTTAGTGTTCTCTGTCATCAAATCTATTGCAAATGTTTATCGCTTGCATTATTGCTTTATAGCTTGTGGGCTGTGTAAAAACAGACAGTAGACCAAATTAAGTAGTGGTTAACTTTTTTCTTTAGTATTTTTAGTGTGGAAGGTCAGTTGTGTTATCATGTAGGATGCTGCCTAATTTATATTTAAAAGTGATTAAGTTTCTTCAAAATAAATTTGAAAATACACATTTAAAATCTAAGTTCATCATTTTCCTGTCATGTTTTTTATTAGACTATTGGACTGTCTCATTGTGGGATAAGTTTATGTTATCTACTAATGGGTAGAGGCAGTTTTTTAAAAGCTTGGTAGTAGAATTTAATTTTCTTAATTTATTGCCCTTTAGGTAAAAAATTGTCTTTTGGGGGAGTTTCAAAGCAATTTTCCAGCCAAGAAACATACAAATGCCACTTAATTTATTCTCATACAAAAATGCATTAGGAATCACTTAATTCTTTTGTTATATGCTTGGCCTGTATAAGACATTAAGAATAATTTTTGACAAATTATACCACAATTTATATCTTCAGATGAGCGCTGTCTTTTTCAAAATATTTGGTGGCTTTGAAGGTGGTGTTTATCTCAGTAATTGTGGCCTTTGTTTAAAATGTTTTTGGAACTCCTTTTATAAAATTGCTTGAGTACTATTCCTTTGCTGAAAATGTTTTTGGAACTCCTTTTTTATTATTACAACAACATAATATTCATTGTTGGAATAAACATATCATTCCCTTGAAGTCATACACTCAGTTATATTAATTCTGGTGTATTTGTTAAACTTGCCTTGTACTTTAGTCTCACGTCACGGAGGCATTCAAATTCTGTAGGCTAACACTTCACTGACACAATGGAAATACTGGTGAGGAGAAGGGCATCTTTTATTGAATCCATTTTAGTTTCATCTGAAGTGTTTCTGAATCCTTCTGAGAAAATTTCCTAAATTTCAAAAATATTCTCCTTTTTTATGACTGTTTGATTAACTATTTCCCTTTTAAACCTGAGCTATAGAAACAGTACCTTTCTAAAGAACAGAAATACTTGCTGATGGGGGCTGGGGCTGCTTTTGCATAGTTGCTTATGTGGTTAGTTTTTTTCCTAAGGAGGCCTACGTTGCCTTTATAATCTTATCTGTTTCAAATTGTTATTAATATTCAGTTCTCCTGTGCACTTCTGTGCACAACTCCATAATTTTAGAAGAGTCTTAACTTTTCTTCCTACAGACAGGATTTCTTCTTAATCATTACATAAAGGGTAAATATTCTTAAAAGTTTCTAGTAATTTTACAAGCCTTCTCAGTAGCACATTTCAGTATTTATACTGAAAAATTCTTTGTGACTAGCCTAAAGGAATCTTACATTTTTCTTCTTTCTTCTCTCTTATCTGTGGAGATTGATAATGTATTGCCATCCTTCATAAAGTACTTCTTACTATGCTCTGTTGGATGAAACTTTAATATTGAAGTTTTCAGTAACTCTAAAGGTAAAGAGAGAAGCTTTATTTTCTTAAAAGATCTTTTGTTAATGGAGGCTATTCACCTGAAATAAGATTGTATCAATTCTGCCTTTCCTATCAATATTTTACTGTAACACATTTACATTAACATTTCTCTACTGATAATTTCTATTGTAGTAGTTGAGTACAATAGCTGGTTTTGAGCAATGAGCATATTAGTAATTTCTAGTATCTGAATTCAAGCTTTACGAAGTAATTAATGCAGAATACATTAAGCTTTTCAAGTCCTAAATTTGAAGAGAATATATGAGTATAAAGAGAAATATTTGTTTCCAATTAACATGTGGATCTAGATGTTTTAGTCTCTATCTCTAGGACATATGATAGACCAACTTAACAAAGATGGGGCTTATTTTAGAATCCATTCAGTCTTAAATTGCTTGGGTGGGGGGAGGTATTCTTAATTTAAGTTTCTATTTTGTGAAAAACTTACTTTTTTCTCTTAAACGTGTCAAGTTAAAAAGCTAATAATTTTATTATAATTTGATGGGTATGTCCCCTAAACTTGAAAAGTTTTTCTTGATGATGACAACCATCTCTTTAAAATGACATGTCATTTAACTTTAGCCGTTGCTAATAATCTTTGAGGATGTTTTGTTAACTTTAGATATGTTTTATAGAATGTTCATTTTTATGCAGTGGTGCTAGCACATATTTGTCAGTTTAGTTAATAAAAGTATGAATGTTTCAAAATATACATAATTTGCATTTGTTTGGCTCAGTCCAACAGATGCTCGAGTACGTACCAAGCACAAGGCACTATGCCTAGTACTATGCAGCTTTTCTTGAAGAAAAGCAGTCTCTGCCCTTCAGGAGCTTATAATCTAGCAGGAGAAATAAAATATTAATGCAAGTTTCACAGTTAGGAAATTAAATGTTAAATATAAACCAAGTGCCATAGGTAAGGAAAAATCACTCTGGTTTGGGAATAATTGCAAAAGGTTTCATGGAAAAGTTAGCATTTGGATGGGACTTGAAGGCTTGTCTGCTGTATTATACACTGTTTCAATAGTATTCATTGTTATGGCTAACCATCCATAATTTATCTAATTAAAAATAATAAAAGTCAGATTTCCAACTTGCCTATTATAGTGACAATAAAGTGTAATCTGTTTGTTTTTCCCAGTTGAGAAGTGATTATTTTGTTTATCTGTTTCTTCCAGGAAAACATTTAAAGTTGATGATATGTTATCAAAAGTAGAGAAAATGAAAGGAGAGCAAGAATCTCATAGGTAAGATAACCTATCAGTTTACATTAAGCGACATACTTGAGGAAAGAGGAAAAAATGATAGTGATCATTTCCCTAGTGATTACCTCAACATTATAAGGAATTAGAAGGAACCTTAGAGGTCAGTTGGTCCAAACTCATACACAAATCAGTAGTTACTTGCTCTGTACCATCCCTGGTAGAGAATCCTTAAGCCTCATCTTGAATACCTCCAATGCTGGGAACTCACTGTTTTCTAAGGCAGCTGTGTTCATTGTTGTTCATCTCTGTTACCAGTTTCTTGCCTTTTGAATCCAAGTTTCTATAAATTCTGCAGTTGGTGTTCATCTTGCTACCTCATCTAAGGCGGAATGGAGACTCATGCTTTTGGTGTACTTTGTGCTAGGTGCTGTGCCAGGTGCTTCACAACATCACATCTCTTCAAATCTCAGAGGCTCTCTTTTTTTCCATTTTGTCCTTCCCCTTATTTACATCTTCCAGGCAAAATACTCCTAACTTTATTTTATATTTGAAATATGTGTATGACATGATAGTTTGATGAACTTCATTGACCCTTTGGATAGAATCTACTTACTGTATGCTTCCAAACATGATACCCGGGACTAATCCTTAAATGTCCTGACTAGCTTAATATCTGCCTAGGCTAAACAGTATGCTTCCATTCTTAGATAGTATGCTTCTATTTATTTTTTAGTATATAAACTAAAGAAAGTTACGTACTGTTCTAAAGAGAAATGAGAACTGTGTGGTATTTACTTAATTATTGACTACTCTTTGGGCGAATGCAAAACTGAAAATACTAGATTTTTAAAAAATGGAGTTGAAAAAATTGCCACAAAGAATTTTTGTTTCCTCTTGAAGTTTTAAATCATACCTTACCAATTTAGATAGGGTATACACTGACTTAATGATGCTTCATGTATGATTTCTCATTTTAGCAATTGGTATAAGATGTCATTTTTGCAGATGCTTATATTTAAAGTTTAGCTTTTGAATTAGGTTATTTTGTTACTTGAACTGTAAAATCACATTTTAAATTTTTTATCTTTCAATCTTGGAGGACCAAAGTATAATTTCTATTTCCGTATCTAGGCAATCCTGACTTGTAAATAAGCTTTGATAGTCCATTCTGGAAGCTGAGATCCCAAATCTTTACTCCATCTATTACTGTCCAAGGTGTACCTTACATTATAGGACTGAGAATATTCCCAGTGCTTGCACACACTGTTCTTTGCTTGAATTTTTATTCCAGATCCTTGTCTGGTCACCTACCCTGGACAAAGCTTTTGGGATCCTCAGGGCCTTTTTTACTTAGAAAGTATAAGTTATAGACAGAGCCTCATCTGACCTTCTTGCTTCTTTTCTCCTGAAAGCTTTTTTTTTT